ACTTCATAAAGTCCACCTTAAAAATATCCTTTAAGGTTATTTAACTCCAATATCTTGGGATTAGCTCCCAAGAACTATTGAACTTACATTCCCGACTAGTATTTCTATACTAGTTGTTTAATCTTAATAAACCAATGCAATTTCATAATAATTCGTATATTTCAACTAAATTTCACATTCAAGTATAATTTGGCTCTATTATCAAAATATCACTTTTATCCTCCCATGACTTCCTTACATGAGGTAAAAGTATATTTATCACCATTTAATTTGTAGTTTATACAACTATTATGCCATTGTATTCATAACACATAATCATACACAATTTATTCATAAATTTGTATATTATGCATTTTTGCTTATAAACAATAATGATCTCGTTTAGGCATTTTTAATTATTAATAAATCATTTCAAACACATATAATTCATTTAGGAAATCTTATGAAATTAACCCAATAATTATAAGCAATATAGTCGGTCATCCTCACCTTAAGTGAGCTAAAGCGCGTTCCACGCTCCCCGATTGCACTTTGACTAACTCCGGTGAACTTTGACCAACTCCGGCGAACTTTGACCAACTCCGGCGAACTTTGACCAACTCCGGCGAAACTCCGGTGAAGCTCAAAAATACTTTAATCAAGTTCCTAACAAGGTTTTAACATCATAAAACCTTAATCAACACAAATAACCTTCAAAAGGTTATTTTCCGGTGAACTTGTCGGTTTGGCTTCTAAGTCCGCTCTTGGACATAGAACCACCTCCCAACCCCTTGTTCCACATTTATCAACATGTAGAACAATCCTAGGGTTCTTCATAATTTCTCAAATAATAATATATTCAAGAAAAAGAGAAGAGAAAGGTAAATGGAGTCATTACCTAGCCTTTCCTCAAGTTTTGCACACTTTTCGGAACTTAAACTTTTCCCTAGAGCTTCCTTCTTGTTGGAGCTTCCTTCAACAATGGTGAGAGGTTTGAGAGCTTCCTTGCTCTTGAGGGATGGGTGCTGGCCGAAATGATTAAGGAAAAGGGGGGTTTGGGGTTGTCTTTTTTCTCATTAATCAATGAGTAAGGATGAGGCCCCATCCCATTTGTTTGATGCTTCTTCCTTCACTTCACACACATCACTCATGTTTCTCCTATCACACCAGCCGGCCAATGAGTTGAAAAATGAGGCCAAATTCGTGGGTTGGCCCCCACTCATGTGGGAGGTCAACCCTTTTTGTCCAGAAGTGCACAATCGGTCCCGAAAGTTGTATTTTTCGGACTGTTTTAAATATAATTTATTTTATCGGGTCGAATAAAATATTTTATGTGTTCTTAATCATTATGACACTTATGAAGAATATACATTTCCCAATTTTAATTTATAGGTCTCCGAAATCCAATTTCGGACTGTTATCCGTTAAATTACCAATACCAGTAATTGAGCCGCTTTTGACCAATCGGTCCACATTATGTCATTCCCTTGGACCGAATAAATATTCCACCTCTATATAAATATTATTTCGACCAAGTTGAATAAAATATACGGTCTCGGGAATATCGGGCGGCCCCGTTCCCGGTGTGGGTCCCACGTGCGAAATCACTATTCACGCAAAAGAAAATTTTAACAATTCACAACTTCGTATACTCGTTAACCATTCCATAAGGTTCAATACATTATACTCTTAACAGTAAATACATTTGGGGACGGTGTTACACATCTCCAGCATCTTCACTTCCATTCTCTGAATGATTCGACCCATTATTGGTAACATGGATTGTTTGTGGAGATTGCGGCATTAACATACTCATGTAAGGTCCCAATTGAGGTTGTTGCGGAAGAACATTCATATAGCTAGTTTGTTGTTGATGTTGTGGAAGGAAACCCATCACCGAAGCTTGCTGAATATTTTGAGGCGGAAACATTGTTGAGAACATACACATCGAATGCTGCATTTGGTCAATGGTAGCTGAAGCGGTTTGTTTAAATTGCAGGAGTTCTTTGTTTGTTTCCAAAAGCAGATTATTGGATTTCTCAAGTTCACTCATGCGCTGCTTCCATAAGTTATCTTCATATGACTTTTCTGAATTGAATGATCTTTAGCAGTGGAGGTGCATGGAAAATAGTACATATACTAGCCGAACCATATCCAGAAACTTTGCCTCCTTTCTTTCGTCCACCGGCAGCCTTTAACATCAAATTCTGAGGTTTAGCAATTGTTTCCTTTGATTTCAGCTCCTCATATGACTCCTGCAAATGACAACAAAATTGAGACTATATGAATCACTTAAAACTTCTAAATTTGACAAAGTAAATAACAAACAAATCTGAGCTCTCTAGTATTTCACAACACCACTGGTTTTACATTTAAGGAGCTTATTTTACGCATCATTACAAAATCAATTACATTTGGATGTTCTTGGTCTCATTTGGTAAAGTAAAGTATCATAGAATTGAAAGGCCCCATTGTGGGATGGAGGCTTCATAACAGAGTATTAAAATACTTGTAATATAATACTTTGAGTATACCATGGCTACTGAAGGCTGCTTCGAATTCGTTTTTAAAGTGAGCTAGAAAATCCCTGGTTTTGAGAATTTATATGTTTTTGTACTGCTCGAAAACTTCAAAGTAAAATCACATAAGCTTAATCCATGACCAGTGAGGTACAGACGAGATAATCTAGACTAGCTTAAGTAATGACCAGGTAGCTGATATAAATTTTTCAGTCAGTTGAACACTTACCAGAACACTTTATTAGGTGGACGGTAGGAAGCTAAAGGCAACTGGTATAAGACACTCCATGAAAATATGGCAAAGAGATGAAGTATTCGTTTTTTGCTCACTTAACAGGTAAATCAGGCAAATTGCTATTGATCTTGTCTTCAAAGTAATTTGATAAAAATAAAAAAGTAATAGTAGGTATAGTGTCCCATTTCCTAAAATGTAATATATATTTTTCTGAACTCAATGTTGAGATAACGATTAAAATTCTTTTTTCGAAAGAGATAATGATTAAAATGTAATTATTTTGCTCCATCTTCATACAATTTCTTCTTAATTATTAAAAAATGATAAAAATTATAACCACCATATAAAATTTTAAAAAGAATACTTATGATCAATTAGCTTACCTTATTTAATAAGGATGAAAATTGATATCATACATAAATACATACATGTATGTATATTTTCACAAGTAAATACGTTTAGATATTCTAATATAAAAAACATAATTAAAACTATTAGATATTCTAATATAAAATCTTAAAAAGAATACCAGCTCACCTTATTTAATAAGGATGAAAATTGATATCATATATAAATACATACATGTATGTATATTTTCACAATTAAATACGTTTAGGCCTAGCCAAAAAAGTAAATATGTTTGGTTATTTATTTATTTTACAACTACAATTTAAATGTGTCTTCACTTTTGAAATAAATTCCTAATCCAAATTAGAAAATCTTTATATGTTTACGAATTCCTACTTTTATTTTAATAGATTTTTTTAATCGGATTGATTTCAGTTCCAGATTAAATAAGATCAAATCAAACTTTAATGATGATGATGATGATGATGATGATGATGATGATGATGATGATGATGATGATAATAATAATAATAATAATAATAATAATAAGTCACATAAAATGCAAAACAAACATCTACAAGACCATATTAATTCATACCAAATCAAACCCAAAATTTTAATTCAATTAAAATCGTCCTTATCAATGAGTAGAATGTAAGATCTCACAATTAAAATTTTAAAATGTGTATTTCATACCAAGTTGAATGAGAAATATAGAAAAATATTATTTTGAAATGCTCAATAAAGTAATTTAGATGCTCATAACAATTAAAAATTGTTTTCAATGTAACGAAATAATGAGTAAAATGTTAAAAAAAAACTTCATTTTTTACATTTACGGTGTGACGAAATAATGAGTAAAATGTAACATCTTATTATTAAAGGGAAAAGGTGCAAATAGGCCCATGTACTAACAAAAAAAAGTCAAATAAACCCTTATTTAGGAGGCTCTATCCGGCCGTCGCCATTTGGAGTGGTTCCCGGTGGAACTTTTTGATGAAATTTTTTGATCATCTTATTCATCAAGTCTAGTTTACTCATATCAAATTTCTACTAAAACTTCAATCAGGAAGACATTCAAATGAATTCTTGAAAATAACTGCGCTTCTAACTTCGCAGTTATTTTCAAGAATTCATTTGAATGCCTTCCTGATTGAAGTTTTAGTAGAAATTTGATATGAGTAAACTAGACTTGATGAATAAGATGATCAAAAAAATTCATCAAAAAATTCCACCGGGAATCACCCCAAATGACGACGGCCGGACAAAACCTCCTAAATAAGGGCTTATTTGACCTTTTTTGGTTGGTACATGGGCCTATTTGCACATTTTCCCATTATTAAAAGTTAAAAGTATGTACTCAGTATTACACATCAAGTTGAATGAGGAATAGTAGATGAAAAAAACTCAAGGTGCATAATAAAGTAATTTAGAGGACGTGAGATTATGAATTCTTTGAAATCGGGTTCATAACAATTATATTTACCTGAGATGCTTATGTAGAAGAACAATTTAATTATTTTTCATATAATCTTTTCTTGGCTTCACAATTGGAATATATTTTACATATTTTTTTCATGATTCAGGAGATTCCACTTATTTAGCCCATTCGGCCAGAATTTAATCAATTTCAGTAAAATAAGTTAATTCGATTTATTTTAGTATTATCAAACAGGCTCTATATTAGACTAAGTTTATTTTTCTTTTAAATCACATTACATATGATCCAAAAGAAATCAAATTTCAAATTAGCTAAATTACATACTGCATGTGCATCGCACGGGCTTGAAAGCTAGTTCCTTATATAATACGGAGTACAAATGTTTTCTTTTAGACTGTTTTAAATCCCAGATCAGACCAGATTTCCATAATTATAAAATAGATAGAAACCAAACAATTATCAGATTGATCCAACATCCTTTCTCCCAAGCACATGTGGCTTAAACGAGAGCAAAATTGTACGTGTGGACAGTGGCCTCTCGAAAAATCCAACACTTTCATCTCTCCCGTGTCCTCACCCCGCCATACCACACCACACCACACAAACACCCAAACACACCCTTGGAAGCCCAGAGAGGAGTGATGCAAGAGAGGGATGGGAGTTTCTTGAAAGGGCAGTTGCCTCCTCATTTGCAGATGATTTCTCTGTTTTCCCAACAGCCCTTTCATCTTCTTTCTCGCAAAGAAAGAAACAGCAATAACCTAACCCCAGTTCTAACTGCAGGTTATTGTTGCTGTTTTTATTATCAGTACTCCGTATTAATTAATTACTGTACCACGTATCTTATTTGACCCTTTCCCTTCATCCTGCTTATTCTTAGAAGTGTGCAGCGGCTGTGATGATATGGTTTTCTGTGTTTCTTCTCTCTGGGCCTACTAATTTTGAGGGATTTGGAGGACACGGCCCGTATCTTGGCGGGGCAACCCGGAAATGGAACTGGTTGTTGCAGCCATGGCGGTTTCGCTTCCCATTTCCCTCTAGAAACACAGACCTGAGCCTCTAAAAAGTAAAATGGAATTTTCTTTAAAATTCCATTTCACAAAAAGCAAAGTTCTATAAAAAGTCAGGACTGTTCTTTCATCATTATATGATTTTGTCCAATTTTTATAGATCTGAGTATTATATGATAAGACTCCACACCAAGGATTGAACCCGGGACCTCTCAGTTACAATTTTTTTTATGATACATTTGAAAGGATCCTATCAGTTACAATGCCAACTCTTTTTGAATGGACTAAGGCTTGGATGTTATGTTGTTGTTGCATTCTTTAAAGGATAATGGGATTTCATTTTATTGGGCTTGATATTATCCTCTTCATATATTCATAAGCACTCAATTCATAGTTTGTGCAACTGTAATACCGTGTGAGCATGTAATCAAGAGCATATCTTATGCTCTTATGAGATGCCTTGTGCTGGTACAAGGGACAGTGAAGATATGTAGCACTACCCATTTATTTTTGGAGAATTGATTGAGCATGGATAATATATGACGCGTATCTTGGCGTGGCAATACTCAATCTCATGAGCATTTGATATTTGCAGCCATGGCGTGTCATATTGATTTTCTTCATGCTAATCCTAGTATGTTTTTACTTGGACTGTAATTTACTGGTATGGTCTGAACTGATCCGTTTAAGTCAGTGTCCTCACCCCACCACACCACCCCACACCACACAAACTCCCAAACACATCCTTAGAAGCCCAGAGAGGAATGATGCAGGAGAGGGATGGGAGTTTCTTGAAAGGGCAGTTGCCTCCTCATTTGCAGATGATTTCTCTGTTTTCCCTGCCAAACAGCCTTTTCATCTTCTTTCTCGCAAGAAAGAAACTGCAATAACCTATCCCCAGTTGTAATTGAAGGTTATTGTTGCTGTTATTATAATTATTATTATCAGTTATCATCATTATCATTACCCCAGTGCCACAAAGGCTCCCATCTACAGTGGGGTAAGGGGGTCGGATATACGCAGTCTTACCTCTGTACTAAAGCACAGCGAGACTAAAGCACAACGAGACTGTTTCCGGATGATCCACAGTGAAAATCGCGTCCAAAATGCATGGACTAACTGCATCTTCATAACAAAGAAGCACAAACAGTTTAATGAGCCATTTTGCTTTATCTATCATTTTTTCAAGCCAAAAAATAGTTAGTCTTTGGCTCCATTGCAAATGATGGAAAATGTTGTTATTATTATCAGTACTCCGTATTAATTAATTACAGTCCCGCTTATTCTTAGAACTGTGGAATGGCTATGATGATATGGTTTTCGGTGTTTCTTCTCTCTGGGCCTACTAATTTTGAGGGATTTGGAGGACACGGCCCGTATCTTGGCGGGGCAACCCGGAAATGGATCCGGTTGTTGCAGCCATGGCGGTTCCGCTTCCCATTTCCCTCTAGAAACACAGACCTGAGCCTCTAAAAAGTAAAAAGGAATTTTCTCTAAAATTCCATTTCACGAAAAGCAAAGTTCTAGTAAAAGTCAGGACTTATCTTTCATCATTATATGATTTTGTCCAATTTTTTATAGATCTGAGTATTATATGATAAGACTCCACACCAAGGATTGAACCCTGGACCTCTCAGTTACCATTTTTTTATAATACATCCGAAAGGATCCTATCAGTTACAATGCCAACTCTTTTTGGACTAAGGTTTGGATGTTATGTTGTTGTTGCATTCTTTAAAGGATAATGGGATTTCATTTTATTGGGCTTGAGATTATCCTCTTCATATATTATAAGCACTCAATTCATAGTTTGTGCAGCTGTAATACAGTGTGAGCATGTAATCAAGAGCATATCTTATGCTCTTATGAGATGCCTCGTGCTGGTATAAGGGACACCCGTATCTTGGTGTGTCAATACTCAATCTCATGAGCATTTGATATTTGCAGCCATGGCGTGGCATATTGATTTTCTTCATGCTAATCTTAGTATGTGTTTACTTGGACTGAAATTTACTGGTCTGGTCTGAACTGATCTGTTTAAGTCAGTGTCCTCACCACACAAACTCCCAAACACATCTTTACAAGCCCAGAGAGGAGTGATGCAGGAGAGGGATGAGAGTTTCTTATAAGGGCAGTTGCCTCCTCATTTGCAGATGATTTCTCTGTTTTCCCTGTCGAACAGCCCTTTCATCTTCTTTCTCGCAAGAAAGAAACAACAATAACCTAACCCCAGTTGTAACTGAAGGTTATTGTTGCTGTTATTATTATTATCAGTACTCCGTATTAATTAATTATTACAGTAGTACACTAGTACGTATCTTATTTGACCCTTTCCCTTCATCCTGCTGATTCTTAGAACTGTGGAGCGGCTGTGATGATATGGTTTTCTGTGTTTCTCCTCTCTGGGCCTACTAATTTTGAGGGAGTTGGAGAACACGGCCTGTATCTTGGCGGGGCAACCCGGAAATGGAACCGGTTGTTGCAGCCATGGCGGTTCCGCTTCCCATTTCCCTCTAGAAACACAGACCTGAGCCTCTAAAAAGTAAAAAGGAATTTTCTTTAAAATTCCATTTCACAAAAAGCAAAGTTCTATAAAAAGTCAGGAGTTATCTTTCATCATTATATGATATGATTTTGTCCAATTTTTGTAGATCTGAGTATTATATGATAAGACTCCACACCAAGGATTGAACCCTGTGACCTCTCAGTTTCTCTGTTTTCCCTGTCGAACAGCCCTTTCATCTTCTTTCTCGCAAGAAAGAAACAACAATAACCTAACCCCAGTTGTAACTGAAGGTTATTGTTGATATTATACATCTGAAAGGATCCTATCAGTTACAATGCAAACTCTTTTTGGACTACGGCTTGGATGTTATGTTGTCGCATTCTTTACAAAATAAGGGGATTTCATTTTATTGGGCTTGAGATTATCCTCTTCATATATTCATAAGCACTCAATTCATAGTTTGTGCAGCTGTAATACCGTGTGAGCACGCAATCAAGAGCATATCTTATGCTTTTATGAGATGCCTTGTGCTGGTATAAGGGGCAGTTATGATATTTAGAACTACCCAGAGAATTGATTGGGCATGGATAATATATGACCCGTATCTTGGTGTGGCAATACTCAATCTCATGTTCATTTGATATTTGCAGCCATGGCGTGGCATATTGATTTTCTTCATGCTAATCTTAGGATGTTTTTACTTGGACTGAAATTTACTGGTCTTGTCTGAATTGATCTGTTTACGTCAGTGTCCTCACCCCACCACACAAACTCCCAAACACACCCTTGGAAACCCAAAGAGGAGTGATGCAGGAGAGGAATGGGAGTTTCTTGAAAAGGCAGTTGCTTCCTCATTTGCAGACGATTTCTCTGTTTTCCCTACCGAACAGCCCTTAATTCCATCTTCTTTCTCGCAAGAAAGAAACTGCTATAACCTAACACCAGTTGTGACTGAAGGTTATTTCTGCTGTTATTATCATCAGAACTCCGTATTAATTAATTACAGTACTACGTATTTTATTTGACCTTTTCCCTTCGTCCTACTTATTCTTAGAACTGTGAAGTGGCTGTGATGATGACTTTCTGTGTTTCCTCTCTCTGGGCCTACTAATTTTGAGGGGATTGGTGGACACGACCTGTATCTTGGCGGGGCAACCCTGAAACTGAACCGGTTGCTGCAGCCATGGCGGTTCAGCTTCCCATCTCCCTCTAGAAACAGACCTGAGCCTCTAAAAAGGAATTTTCTTTATAATTCCATTCCACAAAAAGCAAAGTTTTAATGAAACACTTCTCTGATGTTATGTGCTGAGGTCATTTCCCGATTGATGATAGTCAACTGTCAACCCCAAACTCTTTTTGGACTAAGGCTTGGATGTTATGTTGTTGTTGTGTTCTATAAAGGATAAAGGATAAAGGATGACGGGAATTCATTTTATTGGGCTTGAGATTATCCTCTTCATATATTCATAAATCATAACCACTCAATTCATAGTTTATGCAGCTGTAATACCATGTGTGCACGTAATCAAGAGCATATCTTATGCTCTTATGAGATGCTTTGTGCTGTTATAAGGGGCAGTGATGATATTTAGCACGACCTGTTTATTTTGGGAGAATGGATTGGGCATGGATAATATATGGCCCGCATCTTGGCGGGGCAATACTCAATCTCATGAGAATTTGATATTTGCAGCCATGGCGGCATATTGATTTTCTTTTGGCTAATCTTAAACCACGTATCTGAGCCTTTATTCTTAAACCAGATTTGCATTCATTCCCTCTTTCAGAATCCCAAAGTTAATTACGTGCTGTTATTCATCCATTCATTCTTTCTTTCTTTAAACTACCCTGTCTTAATCTCATACCATAAGAATCTACACTTCGATTGGCTTGTGGCTTAATGTGAACTCTAAAGGAGGTAAATGAGTTTTGTGGGTGGTTGCTCCCTCTTTTTGTTGTACTCTTAAGACCCGATGATTATCCCCAAAAACTGTGATTAATGATCAGCTCAACAACCCTTTAGAATGATGATACAATGAAACAAGACTTAATTGTTGCTTGATAGTATCTGACAAGGGTGCAGCAAATGTTCAAATAATTGGAGTTGATCTCAAGTCCAAACGTATAATGTTACTTGGACCTCATAGGTTAGGCGGCCCAATATTATTCTTTCTAGAGGGCTGTTGGTTATTGGTTTGGAAAATGGAGAGATAGATGACTAGCAGGTGGATAGCTTATTTCAAAGAACAGTGTACAAAGGTCAGTTTTTTGTTTTCGTTAGGGTGGTTGTCCTCTCTAGGCTAGCCAATAATATCCTCTACTTTTCAATAACAGAAGGTAACCAACATCCCTCAATTACATACAGGCTGTGATGATTCTAGGCTCTACATTTGCAGATGATTTCTCTGTTTTCCTTACCGAACAGCCCTTTCATCATCTTTCTCGCAAGAAAGAAAATGCAATAACCTCAGTTGTAACTGAAGGTTATTGTTGCTGTTATTATTATCAGTACTCCGGATTATTCATTTACAGTTTCTTACTTGACCTTTTCCCTTCATCCTGCTTATTGATAGAACAGTGAAGAGGCTGTGATGATACGGTTTTCTGTGTTTCCTCTTTCTAGGTCTACTAATTTTGAGGGATCTGGAGGACACAGCCCGTATCTTGGCGGCACAACCCGGAAATGGAACCGGTTGTTGCAGTCATGGCGGTTCGGGCTTCCCATATCCTTCTAGAAACACATACCTGAGCCTCTAAAAAGGATTTTTCTTCAAAGTTCCATTCCACAAAAAGCAAAGTTCTATAATAAGTCAGGAGTTGTCTCTTTCAGCATTATATGTTTTTGAACCCATGACCTCTCAGTTACATTTCTTTTATACATCGAAAAGGATCCTCTCAGTTACAACTTACAATGCAACAACTCATAAGGAAATTCGGAGTATGTTTTATTTTCTTCAACAGTTTCTTCGCAAATTTCGTGTTTATTTCCCTCCCTATTTCTTGGCCAATCATTTTTTGGCATTCGAAGAAGAAATATACCCATTTATGAAATACTTCTTTGATGTCATATGTTGATTCATGTTGGTCAACCCCGTGCTGTCATATGTTGATTCATGTTGGTCAACCCCGACCTCTTTTTGGACTAAGGCTTGGATGTTATGTTTTATTCTTTAGAGGATAAGGGTATTTCATTTTATTGGGCTTGAGATTATCCTCTTCATATATTCATAAGCACTCAATTCATAGTTTGTGCTCCAGTAATGCCATGTGAGCATGCAATCAAGTGTATGTTTCCTATATATTCACTTATGCTCATATGAGATGCCTTCGGTGCTGGCATAAGGGGCAGTGATGATACTTGGCAGTTAGCACTACTCATTTATTTTGGGACAATCGTTTGGGCATGGATAATGTGTGATCCGTATCTTGGCGGGACAACAATCAATCTCATGAGCATTTGATGTTTGCAGCCACGGCGGCATATTAATTTTCTTTTGGCAAACTGCCTTTCTGAGTCTCTATTCTGTAAACCAAATGTGGATTGGTTATGTCTTTGAAAAATCCCAGAAGTTAACTGTTTGCAGTTATTCATCCATCCATTCATTCATTCATTCACTTTTTCAAACTGCTCTTTATTAATCTCTTACCAAAAGAATCTACACTTGGATTGGCTTAATGTGAACTCTTGAAGATGTAAATGAGTTTTTTGGGTAGTTGCTCCATTTTGTTGTTCTTTTCAATCCCAATGATTCTCCCCAAAAACTACGACTAATGAGCAGCTCAACAACCCTTTAGAGTGACGATATATTGAAACAAGGCTTAGTTTTGCTTGATAATATCTGACAAGCGTGTAGCAAATGTTAAAAAAATGAAGTTGATCTCAAGTCCAAATGTATAATGTTACTTGGACCTCGTAGGTTAGCAGGCCCAATATTATTCTAGAGGGTGTTGGTTATTGTTTTGGAAAATGGATGGATAGATGACTAACAGTGGACAGCCCATTTCAAAGAATGAGTGTACAAAGATGAGTTTTGTGTTTTTTGTTAGGGTGGTTGTCCTTCCTCTGCTGGCCAATAATATCCTCCACTTTTCAGTATAAGGTAACCAACAACCCTCCTTTACATATAGGCTGTGAATCTGTGATGATTCTGGGCTACTAATGATGGTCATTTGAAGAACCCAATCCGTATCTTGGCAGGGCAGTGCAATCGGGAATGGCTCGATTATTGCAGCCATGGTGGCTTGGACTTTATATTGCTTGCTGGAGACAGATCTGAGCCTTTATAAAAGAGTTACCTCTACCAAACAGGCTCATAAGAATCTACATCTTGATTTGTATTTGAGCTTTGTGAATGGATAACACAATATGTGATCAGGTTTCCTCTATTTGTTATTAGGAACATTCTATCCTGACTTGTATCTTGTAGGACAACACTCATGTATCATGGGAGTATTGCCCTGATGGTGTCTGAACTCTCAAACTTCTTTGCCTTATCACAACCTGATATTCTGTACCTATGCTAGGGGAGTATGTTTCACTTTCCCCACTCCATTCTTATTCTGTGTACTGTGCATATCATACATGTTGGGATCAGAAAAAGAAATATTTTACTTTATAAAAGGGTTTAATACGAAAAAAAGAATTCCAGCATGTTACAGAATTATAACACTTCCGAGGATCCACCTAGTTTTATCCACTAAAATTTGTCAATTTCAAATGAGTTATGTACACCTAAGATTTTTGTCCGGTTTCTAACTATGCAAAGTGGTTTAAATGAGGTTGAAACACAATTAAGTTCAATCTTTTATCGCAATTGGTTTGAAGAAATAAGATGGAAAAATTCCTAGACAAGACAAGGAAAGGATCAGAATGTTGAATTTGTCTCCTCTCTTGCCATTGTGAATTAGTTTCTTTTCAATCCACATGTAATGTTTGATTTGATATATAGGGCAAACATTAATTTTTTCACTCAACTTGTTCAACCTAGTGAGGTCCATTTACTCATAGTTTTACTATATAATGTAGTAGATTGTTTCAAATGTACTATATCATTTCCAGGATCCAGAATATTCTCTTAATCACATTCCTCTTTCCAGATGATACTCATGGATCAAGAATTGAACAATGTAAAGTGCATTTGATGTTCGCGCCTATGGTGATCTCACAGTCCTAGCCTCTGATTTCGGGGAAAAATGTGCTGCAGATCTGTAATTCTTTGTTTTTTGAAAATCTGTGCTCGGCAATTACTTGTGGATTATTTATTCTATCATGCATTCATAATTTCGAATGACTATATAAGCATCAACTCCTTGCCAGATTCATTACTTGGATGGGTTTGATGTGATCTCTTAAATTTCAAAGTGTAAGTTGTCTGTATGTAACAATTCATATGTAAAAATAATTTTGCTCTAGGACAAACTTGAGGTTCAGCGTGTGAATCTCAACTGTACTAAATGATCTCTTGTCACTCAGTTTTTCAAATATAGTTTCTATATGAATCTCAAATCTCAATCCCTTCATTAGAATTATTTAACGTACTAGTAAAAAATGGTTGGGTTCTGCAGAATACATTGTAGAATCCATATTTATATTTATTAGAATTCCATATTTGTGATTCGATATTAATTTTAACGTTTTAAAATATTTATGCTCTAGTTAATATGGAGTAAAAAACTTTTTTGGAATATTACATGCTTTGTCTCATATTTTTTCATGTAACTTTTTTCTTTATTTTACTACTAAAATGTATTTTAAGTGTAATTTTTTCATAAATTAGCCGAATCAATCAATTCAGTCACTTCAACCAAAATTTCATAAATTCAGCAAAATAAATCGATTCAGTCGATTCCTATATTACAAAATGGATTCTAAATGGTTTTGGATTTTTTTGGGAAAAAACATATGTACAATTAATTCCAAATGAATGGAGTGTTTGCGATTGCTTCTACTTTAGAAAAATGATTTTTAAACTGATTTCTGAAAGAGTGTTTAACAGTAAAAGTTGGTAGTATTTAAGAAAAAGATGATTCTGAAATAGTAAAAGTTGTTAGTGTTTGATAAAATAAGTGTTATTTATGTAATAGAAAGAATGAAAAGCGGATTAAAACACACTCAACATGCTTTCAATTTTTAACTTTTAAGTGATTAATTAAGTTAATTTGAAACTGTCACTTGAAAACACCAATTTCACTTTTTTTAAACCCAAAAGTTGAAAAGTATGGAGTACTTTTTTATGAGGATCTGTCCGGCCTTTGTCATTTGGGGTTGTTTTCGACTTCTCGGTTGAATTTTTTGATGAAATTTTTTGAACATCTTATTCAGTAAGTCTAGTTTACTCATACCAAATTTCAGCTAAAACTTCAATCGGAAAGGCACTCAAATGAATTCTTGAAGATAACTGCGCAGTTAAAAGCGCACTTATCTTCAAGAATTCATTTGAGTGCCTTTCCGATTGAATTGTTAGCTGACATTTTGTATGAGTAAACTAGACTTAATGAATAAGATGCTCAAAAAATTTTATGAAAAAATTCCACCAGAAACCTTCCCAAATGACGACGTCAAGACAGATCTTCTTAAATAAAGCTTTATTTGGCCTTTTTTTGTTAATATGTGGACTTATTTGCCTCTTTTCTATTTTTAAAACTTTTTGCAAACACGAAATGGTCTATCATCTACGAGAATGGTCTAGTATCTACGAGAAAGAAGCATTTTTTACGATATAAATGCGAAATGGTCTGTCATAGACGAGAATGCAGCCCAGAAAGGAGTGAGGCAGGAGAGGGTTGGGACTTGGGAGTATATCTACGAGAAAGAAGCATTTTTTACGTTTCCTTTGCCATGGCCGAACAGCCCTTTCCTCTTATTATCTATCGCCCTCGCGCGCGATATACTACGTACGGAGTACTGTTTAGTTAACACTCGGCGTTAATCTTGTTCTTACTACTACAGTATTACTGAGTATCATCATTCTCTGTTTCTTTTATTCCTGGAATCGTAAAGTGGCTGTGATGAAATGGCTCTGTGTTTCCTCTTTCTGGGCTTACTAATTTTGAGGAATCTGGAGGACCTAACCCGTATCTTGGCGGGGCAACCCGGAAGTGCAACCGGTAGTTGCAGCCATGGCGGAATAAGCTTCCATTTTCCTCTCAGAGACACAGATCTGAGAATTTAGCTCCTCTCCAGTTACTGGAGTTCTCCATTAGGAGAGAGATAGAGTGAGATGGGAAATGGTGAGGTAGGGAGAAAAAAAAAGATGGGGTTTAATTATTATTTTTAAGGAGAGAGATAGAGTGAAAAAGAAATGGAGAGAGTAAATGGAAAGAAGGAAATGGAGAGGAGTATGACATTGTTGTATGTAGGGGTGGGCAATTCGGTTTACGGTTCGGTTTTCTTCGGTTTCGGTTCGGTTTCGGTTTATTCGGGTTGGGAGAATTTGTACCAAACTAAAACCATTTGTGTTTCGGTTCGGATTCGGTTCGGTTCCGGTTCGGTTCGGTTTGAAGTTCGGTTTACCAAAGTACAAAACATTATGTTTAATTTAGTTTGATTTGATACGTTTGCTTATGTTTATTATTTTATTTGATTAAGTTCTATATTTCGAATTAGAAAATGAAAGTTGATTAAGTCCATCTTATCTTTTTTTTTTAATTTATTGATTATTTAAATAAAATGTAAAAGAAAATAAAAGATAGAAAAATAAATAATAAAATATTATAAATTGAAACTTCTAACATCTTTTTTATCACTACAAAAAATTCACTTCTTACAAAAAATAAGATAGTTGATTAGCATTTATAATATCACATAAAATATTCATAAAACCTAAAAGAGTCGGTGGTACAAATGTCATAATATTCACAATTTTATTCAAATGAATCATGTAAAAATATAAATGCAATTTGCTACTGTTATCGCCAAACATAATAAATACAAATATGTCGTATTAGCTAACTTTTTCACAATGATTGTATGTAATGTGTAAAAGTTAAAATGATATGAGTATATGCTTAAATATATGTATTTTCATGTCTAAATTATTTATTTATATCTTAAAAATGAAGAGTCATGAAGGTAAATACAAAGTGTGTGTGTGTGTGTGTTGTTCGGTTCAGTTTACGGTTTTCCATTTTAAAGCAAACCAAACCAAAGTACCAAAACATTTGGTTTGAAGAAATGTTTACCAAACAGTTTACTTAAGTAAACCTAAATCAAACCAAATCAAACCACCAATTTTAATAATATATGAAAGCTTTTTGAGTTTCTTTAGTTCGGTTCGGTTTTGTTCGGTTTTTATCGGTTTCGGTTCGGTTCGGTTCGGTTTAATACGGTTTGAAAGAAATAGTACCAAACTCAAACCAAATTGCATACGGTCCGGTTTCGGTTCGGTTTAGTTCGGTTTGGTACGGTTCGGTTCGGTTAAACCAAACCGTTATGCCCACCCCTAGTTGTATGTAGTGTTCTATGCTACATTTTCGGAAATACCAAGGACCCTGAACTGAGGATATTAGCCCTAACAGTTTATTTTGGGACAATCAGTGCCAGTTTGGCTTCATCCTAAGCCAACTTTTTTAGTACGTAACTTTTAGTTTTTTTAGTTTTACCGGTAGAATTGTGTAATAATAAAAAAAAGTAAGGTTGGAGTTACTTTTACGGAGTATAATTTTATTGGCTGAAGTTACTGTAAAGGGTATTTTAGCTATTTTTTCACATAACTTTTTCTTTGTTATATTAATAAAATGTATTTTAAATTATTATTTTTCACATATCAGTAGAATAAGCCAATACAGTTACATCAGTCAGAATTTAATAAATTTCAGCAGAATCAGCCCATACAGTTGATTTTGCTATTACCAAACGGGCTCTCGATTGGGAGTTTTCACCCCAAACTCTTTTGGGAATAAGGCTTGTTGTGATGTTTTTGGCTTTTGGATTAAAATACTTATTTGAGAGTTTTATACCCCTTCCTTTCAAACCTGTTTTCATCATTGGAACAGTGAAGTGGCTGTGATGAAATCTCAAATGAGTATAGGTTTACTCATTTTGAAGATTTTGAAGGCCATATCCGTAACTTGGCGGGGCAACATGGAAATTCATTCTGTTGTAGCATCCATGGGGCGGTTTTCGGCTTTTTACTTCCATTTCCCTCCAGAAACACAGATCTGAGCCTCTAAAAGGGAATGTATTAAATTATATTCCTACTTGATTTTAAGACAATAAGACCTCGATAAAGTTATCAAGATTTGACATTCCATCTTTAAAATGTTAACTTAGAAGTAATTGTATGATCTATATGTTGGGTTGTACATTTATACTTCACTGGTTTTAGGATAGCTTAATGTGTACTCTGTATTTGGTAAAATGGCAGTTCATTAGACCATATATATCTTGTTAACTGTGTTTTGAGTTTTGGTCGAGTTGACTTATCATTTGAGCAAAATAGTCCTGATAAAATTGTAAGATTTGGTGTCTAACCTGTGTTTTATTATTTGATAATGGATGTGGCTGTGATGAAATCCTTCTATTCAGGGTTACTGACTTTGAGGATTTGGATGATCTTACGATCTGTATCATGGCGGGCAACCCAGAAATGGCTTTTCATTTCGAAACAATGGCACAAATATTATTTGTAAGGTTTCAACAGACAAATATATGACCATTTTTTAAACATTACCAAAAGGTGACCCGCTTCAAGTCTTCAACGCATCTCCCATCCTCGCTCAAAATAGTACACGACTTCAACGCATCTCCCACTTCATCGAACAGTCTTCTGCAGATAAACCAGGACCTCCACCGGCGAACTTCTGCAGATGAACCAGTGCCTCCATCTTTGATCCGGCCGAAGATTTAGCGCTTGGCTACGATTTTCATGAATTCGGCAAAGAGCTTCGTCATCTGATGACGACGAGCTCGGACATGACGCCTCTCCGCCTCCTCGTCCTTCAGATATGACATGCCGGCCAGCAATTGACCAGATCTGGGGGAGGGTGGCTACTATTGTTCATTGGCCGGTGGTTGGGATGGGTTGGGCGTCAAAGGTGAGGCTGGTAGGGGTGGATTTGGGCTGCTTAGTGTGGTCGGAGTTGGTGTGTTGCGGCGATTAGTTGGCTGGAAGGGGTGGAGTTGGTCGGAGAAGACGGTTGTTGGGACTGAGAGGGGCTTGGGGATTTAGGTCGGAGTTGGGCGGTGGTGGTCGGTGGTGATTTGGGTATGCTGGGTCACTGGCTATGGCCGACCAGAGTTGTGGCGGTGACTGCAGCAGGGAGGGGCAGTGGGGATGATGCATGCTAGCGCATGGGGCTGGTGGTCTCCGGGGGCAGTGGTCGGTGGGGCTAGTCGGTGGTCACTAGATAAAGCGGTGTGGTGGCGGTAATTGGGTGGTGCCGATGGCAGTGTCACTCTGGCCAACAGTGGTGTTTATTGGGTAGTGAAAACGGTAGTGTCATTGTGTTCAATGGTGGTGCCGTGGTGGTGGCTACAGTGACACGGACGATGACTACAGTGATTCCTGTCTGCCGTTCGTCCAAGGAGC